CCATTTTCTAAGATTCACTTAATCAAATTCTTGTTGAAATTTAATTATAATCCAGCCTTTCTCCAGAAAGAAGTGAAAAGAAAGTGAAGTCACTCAGTTGTGTCTGACTCTTTGCAGCCCCATGGACTGTAGCCTACCAGGCTCCTCCATCCGTGGGATTTTCCAGGCAAGAGTACTGGAGTGGGTTGCCATTTCCTTCTCCAGGGGATCTTCCCATCCCAGGGTTGGAAACGGGGTTTCCTTCATTGTATGCAGATGCTTTACCGTCTGAGCTACCAGGGAAGTTAAAGTTATGAAAAAGCCAGGTCAAATAATGCCTGTCTGTTTATTCAAGGTATAAAGGTATCCTGACTTTTCCTTTATCTGTTGTAAGTCAATACTGCTCAGAAAGAATACACACCTCCAAAGTAAATGTCAGTTCTGGATGAAGCTTGGTAAGCAGCCTTACACTCATACACCCAACCCCATTCATTCTGTTGCTACACACTTAGGCAGTATACACTTCTTAGGTAGTTTGGTAGTATACACACTTAGAAGCATACACTTCTCTGCAATCTGGGATCTACACTTGACTTCTACGACACAGTTATAATCACAGAAAGTGACTGAAACATTTCAAGCTTGTTTGTTTTGATTACTAATTATTGATTTGCCATATACAATCTGGAATTTCAGGTGATACAATGGGATATAAAACCATTATCCACTTACTCAAGGAGCTCAGAATGTACAGAAAGAGATGCCAGGTTCTACCTTACAATATGATGCAAGGACCTATATTTTCATTTATCCATGAAAAACAAATACAAAAATAATGATTTTGATTCCCCTCATCTACCTGAAAGAAAGTACCTTCTTCTCCAAGCCCTGAAGGGAAAAACCTACAATTCCTCATCTCTCCCTAATTCTGCACTGGTGGATCCGATAATTCAAGCACTGGCAGCCTTCACACATTTTTGCCAACTCAAATAGATCTCTAAAAATAACATGGGCAAGGATACTTGACTAGAGAGGCTGATCACCACTCTGTTCTCAAGAAAAGGCTCTGAGGGCTATCTTACCATCCTTAAGCGAAGAGCAAGCTGAATTCACGTGTTCAACACATTCCGGAGGTTCTGAATAGTTGTGGATTGTTTGATTCATTTCAATAGAATAAGGTCACATCAATTACAATGGAATAACAAGCCACTTATTGTCTACCTCCTCTGGGTCCTATGCTGTGTCGTAATGCAGAGCAAAAAGGTGTTCTGTAACTTGGAAATCTGTAACAATGACCTAGAACACTGACATGAGCAAGTAGAACAGGGTACAGACAGCTGAGCAAATAGTAAAGCAGTCTATGAATTAATAAATAATGCTAACATTTGTGCAAATTGACTGAGTACACAACTTAACTGGGAATGTTGGCAGGAAACCTTGAGGAGTGTATGCTCAATCTGGATAAAGCCATGGAAAATTTACAACCTTTTCACTAATTAATCATCATGCAAGGTAGCAGGCTGACAAAATAAACCTGGCTTTCCCACACCATAATTTAGATCTGCTCAGGAGGCTTGGAATTTCCCCAGGGAGTTAAGGTCTCAGAACATGTCAGTAACTCATTGCTGACCTAAGACAATAGCTTTAGCAGCTCTAAACCCTTTTCAAATTAAGGTAATAAAGCTAACTTTATCAGTCTTAATAAAAACTAATTTTAACTTGTTTTGCTCCTTTGCCTCAAAGAATCAGTAAGAAATAACGTGTGTAGGCAATTCTATAATGAAGAAATCACTCCTCCTCACCCCATATCTCTTTTGAACTTCACAATAGACCTAGTGACCTGGTGAAGAGGGAATGATCAACGTATCTGTTTTTCAGATGAGGCGAATAGGAGTGAAGTAAATTTCCCGTGTAATAGGGGCACAAGGGCTCCTTAATATTTCCTGTAAGATAAAATTATGGTAGATATTTTAAGATTAATCTATGGTACACAACATGTGCTTTGAAAATATTGTTAGAACACTTTATTGGTAAGGTGTATCTATTAATCAGGGCTCCCCAGGAGGCACTCGCGGTAAAGAATCCACTGGCCAATGCAGGAGACTTGGGTTCAATCCCTGGGTCTGGAAGTTCCCCTGGAGTAGGAGGAAATGGCACCCCATTCCGATATTCTTGCCTGGAAAATTCCACGGGCAGAGGAGCCTGGCAGGCTATAGTCCATGGGGTCACAAAGAGCTGAACACAATGCAAAACTGAACACACACATCATTAATCAACGAATAATCATCTAAGGCCAGTAGATGACAAGTTCAACGCTATATACCTATATACTTAATTGTATAATTGTCTTTGTTCTCAGCAAACTGCCACCAATTTAAAAGGCAAGTTTGTGACTGTTCTGCAGACACTTAGAGAAATAAGGATTAATGAAGACTGGCCTGAAAGGAGAAGGCTCAGCTAAGATGAAATGCCAGTGAAACTGGGAAGATGCCAGGGTTGTGGCTAAGAAGCAGCAGCAGAGCAGTGGGCAGATGGCAAAGGAGCCCAAGAGGAAACAAGAGAGTGTTAATGCAGAAATCAAGAAAATAGTAAAAGAGAAGTTGGCAATTTGTCGTTGCAGTGCCTAGCACAGGGCCTTCAATGTAAGAAGCACTCAGTAAAGAAAAAAAGATGAAAAAAGATGCAGTTAGATCTTAACCAAGCAGTGAGCTTTCCTCCGTCTTATCAATCAGATAATCACTGCTTCTCTTGTGGAAGGCAGAAGTTTCTTTCCCAATAATCCCCCCAAGAAAGTAGAACTGTCTGTGCAAGTTCCTATTTTGGCAGTAGAAGTTTTAATTTTTTTTTTATTCTATGACAAAGCCAGCCATTGGAAAATTTTGAAAAAGCAGATGAAAGCAGTGTTTAAGGAAAATTAATCTGGCCGTGGTATGTAGTTTAGGTTAGAGGAAAGAGAATGGTGTTGGTGAACATGGCTAGAACTCAGGTGCATCAGGCAAGTAGAGAAAATGAGGGCCAGCAGGGACGTTTTCAGTGAGAAAGGGGGAAATGGCCACGTAATATACTAGATTTTACTCTATAATTTAAAATCAGAGGAACCCTAAGGAAGCACTGTTAGTGACAAAAATAGAGATGAATGGTGGTAAGGCAGTATTAGAAAAGAGAACTCTTTTTCATGGGACAGTATTTGTCCTTCATCCTCTCCAGTGTGAATGTTGAACAACATTTTTTTTATCCTTTTCCTGGAAAAGAGAAGATGGAACACAAATGGTATCAAGATTCGTGTCCAGTGTGAACTCTTCCAAAATCCTGAACTCAGAATGTCTAAGTTCCAGACCTAAAAGCTGACTGCGGGTGAATGCTAAGGAAAACAGAATGACACAATTTGATGAAGGAGCAGGAACATTAAGCCTCTGCCCTGCTACCTTGTGAGAGCATACTGGAGTTGGTACTTAACACACAAGACTATTTCCACTTCCGCAATGTAATCACTGTCACCTTTATCTCCAAATATGTCAACCTAGACACCTGAACTTAGTCAGCCTAAGACCTAGGTAGTCAATGAAGAGAACAATGTAACTGACAAAAGGAGAGGGATGAGCACAAATGTGTGAAAGGGTTTTTCAAAGACTGTTGACCCCCTTTTCCAGATTATTATTATCTGGTGACCCTTGTAAAAATAAGTAGCATTGACATGATCTGTTAGTTGGTTCAGTTGCTCAGTTGTGTCTGACTCTTTGCGACTGCATGGACTGCAGCACGCCAGGCTTCCCTGTCCATCAATAACTCCTGGAGCTTGCTCAAACTCATGTCCATCGACTCGGTGATATCATCCAACCATCTCATCCTTGGCCATCCCCTTCTCCTCCTGCCCTCAATCTTTCCCAGCATCAGGGTCTTTTCCAATAAGTCTATTCTTCCCATCAGGTTCATACAGATTTCTCAGGATGCAGGTAAGGTAGTCTGGTATTCCCATCTCTTGAAGAATTTTCCAGTTTGTTGTGATCTACAGAGTCAAAGGGTTTGGCATGATCAATAAAGCAGAAGTTGATGTTTTTTCTGGTACCTGGTAGGATTTATTTCCTTTCGTTTTTTTAGGGGCGAGGAGGCCGGTTAGTGAGTGCCAACCCGGTATCCCTATACCAGGTACTGTTTCATTTAAGTTAAAAAGAAACACTTCGCTCAGTCTAGCCCTTGTATTTTTTCCTCAGTGCTGTTATCACTATGCTCAATCCAAACTCTAAATAAAACTAAGAGTAAAAAGAGATTAACACACTACAAACTCTTAACCTTATAATGTGTGTGCACTCGGTCGCTCAGTCCCGGGGACTCTTTGAGGGCCCCTCAAACTGTTGCCTGCCAGGCACCTCTGTCCATGGAATTTTCCAGGTAAGAATACTGAAGTGGGGTGCCATTTCCTCCTCTAGGGGTGCTTCTGCGACCCAGGGATCGAACCCAGGTCTCCTGCATTGGCAGGAGGATTCTTTACCACTAGCACCACCTGAGAGGCCCCTTCTTGATATTTACTAGGCGCCAAAAACAAAAAACAAAAAACCCCTCCGGGTTCATGGCCTTGAAAGGGCGTCTGGTTCAGGTATTAGCTAAATTCTCTTAACTTCTACAGAACCGGCGCTTTTAGATATTGCCCCGCGACGGACTACGTTTCCCAGGAGCCCATACCAGAGCGAGAGGCCCATGAAGTGCGTTGTGGGAATTGTAGTTTCTTAGGTGACTACCCTCGTCCAATTCCGGACTCTCGCTCCGATTCCGGGATGGTTAAACCAAGGAGCTCACCAATTAGTTGGGGCCATGTCGCTGAGGCCGTGGTCCAACCGAGAAAGCCGGTGTGAGAACTGCGCGTGGCGATTGGTCGAATCCTTGACCTCAGGGGCGGGGCAATGAGGTGGGCGGGGAGGGCCGCGACGATTGGGCGAGGCGTACGCGGCGGCGGACGCGTATTGGCTGCCCGCTGGGGCAGGGAGGTCTGGGAAGGGGTGGAGGAAGAAGACCAGAGCAGGAAGCGCAGCGGCGAGGCGGAGGTGGCGGCGCGGCGGCAGAGGAGGCTGAGCTGGTGGTGGCCAGGCGGAAGAGACAGCTCCGGGGGGTGGCAGCGGCCCTTGGGAGCAGGATGCGGGTCCGGGTCGGGCTGACGCTACTGCTCTGGGCAGTGCTGCTGGGCTCGGCCTTGGCGTCCTCGGGTCAGTATCCGCCCCCCTCGGACTGGAGGCCGGGAGCCACCGCCCCCCGTTCCGGCCTCCTTCCCGGGGCAGGGCCGTGGGGGCTCCAGCCTCCCCCTGGCTTGTCACTCACGGTCTTCTCTTGGGTTTGGGATGCCCGGGGCCAGCCAGAGTGGCTGTTGAGGAGAGCTTGCGAGGGGAGGGAGAGAGGGTGCCCCCCGACCCACTGCCCACGCCTCTCCTCACTTGACAAACTTGCACGACTCCTTAGGAAGGAGAACTGATTCGATGGGCATGAACCCCGACGGCTTAGAGACCCACGACTGCCACGGAGATACTGTGCTCCGTCGTTTTGGAAACTTCGCACAGCCTGAGCTTGTCCCCTGGGCAGAGCCGGGTCCATCAAAAAAGCAGGATGTTGACAGTGGTTGGTTGGGTTTGCATGGCACCTCAGGTGATCCTGTCTCTTTGTTTATTTAAAAAAAAAAAGCGAACGAAGGCTTTTGATGTGATCATGCCTATTCTGGTACCCCTTTTAGAGAAATAATTCCTGAGAAAGTGGTATTTTTGTGTTGGTTTTTTTTTTTTTTTTTTTAACTGTTTTTTTTTTTTTTTTTTTTAACTGTGTCACAGGGTTTCTGAGCTGTCCCATGTTTGTTGACGGTCATTTTTTAAGAAAAGAAAAAACTTGGTGTTTTTTTTTTTTCATTAGTGTAAAATGGATAGCCTCTAGATTTTTTTTTTTTTTTTTACATAAATAGATTCATGTGCCTTTGAATTGTTTTCCCAATTAGCTGATTTATACCCTGGCTGTGGAAATTATCATTTCCCTTCTTTAATAGCTTAATCTGCCAACATCTGAAAATGTCAGTTTTGAGAGTGTTGGTAAAGAAGCACTTAGTGTTTCTAAGTGTTGGTAAAGAAAGAATTAGTACAGTAAAGCCTTTGAATTTTAATTGGTTTCAGTTAACAAAACAGCTGTTCTGTGGCTTTAAATTTTTTTGGAACAAGGCAGGGTATAAATGTCAACGCTTTTTTTTTTTCCCCAACAGAAAATTTCCCAGATGGTTATTTGAATCCTCAAATTATCTGTCCTAGTTGTAAGTCAGTGCTGTAACGTCATTCTGCTTCTAAAATAAGAGATCTAAACCTAAAATTCGATCCATAATGTGGTGTAAGACACCATTTCAAAAGCAACAAGCATATGCCAGTTACTTTACTGCCAACATCATGCTTTAAAGTCTGCTCCTGGTTATAATGAAACATGCTTTAACTTCTCACATGTTTTCGTGTTTTTGACAGGAAGTGGCTTACTAGTTAAAATGATTTACTGTTCATTTCTGTTTTTTGTTTGTTTGTTTTTTTAATGCCAAATAATCTTATGGAGTCTTGTGAATTTGGTCCACCGCTAGGTATTTCAGGTAATAGTTACGCCATATATTTCAGATTGCAAAATATGTTTCCTTTCACTCTTCTTTTGTTCCTTAAAACTTTATTGAGAGTCAGCAGGGCAGGTGATATTCTTCCCTTTGACACTTGAGGATAAGAAGGCTGAGCAAGCTTGCCATATTGAACCACGTGTGTAACATTGACATGCCATGACGCCAGGTTTTGAGCCTAGTTGTCCAGGCCTTGGATTTGGAGTAGTTAAGAATCAGCAGTATCCTAGGATCTGCACAGATTTCAGTGGCAAATCCAAAAACAGGATGTCTGGTCTCTTTTCACTGAACTTTCCAGACTTTCTGTGTTTAAAAGTGTATCCGTCTCTGTTTAATCTACTTGACAAGTTAGAAGATGAATTTGTAGTGACCACTTTCCCTTGAAAGATGATCCTTGATATTTTGCAGTTTTGTTAACTAATATAAAACTGAAAATTGGTCTTTTTCAAAGCAAGGGGTATGATTATCAGAGTAATGTAAACCATGATATTTGGATACAGTACTGTTTAGTGAGAAGTCCTTAACTCTTCACTGTATCCTTTTTTGCATTTTTCTTCTTGCTTGATATATGTAATCTGATAGAAGCACTACTGTATTCTTTTTATTTATACATAACTTCAGTACTTTTCATCCTTACCTGACTGCCTATCATAAGTTTCTAGGTTATGAGAAACTTATTTATAAAGTATTATGTGAATGGACATATCAGTTTGAAAAAGAAAATAGCTGATGCTTTCAGATTACCATCTGGAGTAGGCTTTCCCAGTTTAGTAAGTGAGAATTTTTTTAATTTGCCAGTAAGCTGAATATATATTCCTGGTTTGTTAAAAGAGAAAAGAAGGAGAAGCATGATGCAATTCGTATGAAATAACCCTGATGTCACAAGTTCCCATGTCTCTGGCAGCTCAAAAACATATCCTGCTACTTTGATGCCTAACAGCTTGTAGTGTCTCAAATGTACATTTTTTATAATTTATTTATAGGCATCTATATTATTTACCTATTAGCTACATATGTGACCTGTTGTGGCAGGGTACTCAGCTGGGTGGTTAATGATTTAAGAGTTCTGACTAATAGCAAGTTTCAGAATTTGGGTGTATACCCTATACATTTCACATTTAATGTCTGCCCTTGATATATTAACTAGTTAATGTTTATGACTAATTAGATACATTCACATATACAATGTAGTTGTGTAGTAGAGGTGAATTTTTTTCCTTTATGCAAAGATTTGCTGAGAATGGACTTTGGACCATATGTTAGAACTTGGGCTTTGGGTAATACTTGTGAAGAAGTGAGCCTGAAGAGTGACTGTTTATTAATTGACATCACTGCCTATAAACCTAAATGTTACAGGCCCTCTGGAACTGATATATGTTGTACTCTTCTTTTCCCCGCCCACCAGAAAAAAATATTTGGAAGGTAATCTAAAAGTAGTGAATGTGAAAATAATGTGAAAAATGTGAATAATGTAAAAATGAAAAAAATGTGAAAATATCATTTAAGTTTTCTTTGAATTCATAGCACTTTTATATGTGGCAGAACCTCACCAGTAGACCGATTTCTGAAATATTCAAAGGAAACAAAACCTGAAATAGAGTTGAGTATTTGGTACATAATGAGTTGGTTATACTTCTTAAAGTTTAGTTCAGTGCTTTGCTAACAAACTCCAAAACATGTTTTTGCTGTACTTTGAAGAGTTACAAGTTACCAATAATATTTAGGTTATAATCATATGAAGTAAAGGTAAATGGCAACCATAACACCACATTTTCTAGTAAAAATCACATAGTTTATAGCATTTTTGCCTATGGTTAATTTCTCACATAACTTAAGGAGCTGGCAATACTGAAGCGAGTAAGAAGGAAATTTAAAGATCATCTGACACTTGTTTTTTTAACTGGAATACAAAGATCAAATATTTGCAAATGGCCAGTTGGGTTGCTGAATGTGTTTATATAAAGCAGTAAAAAGAATAACAAGCAGCTAGAATAGAAGTAACAACAGAGAAATCCAGAGAGAATAACAGAAGTAATCTTAATGTAATCTGACAAAGCCAAAACAGCTAATATAAATTTGGAAGAAAGATACAAGTAGTGATTGGATTTATTGATAATGTAATACAGGCTATTGATTTCCTAATAAGTAGATCTCATGTGAATGGATACATGGTAGTGTGATGTTCTCAGTCCACATATCTGGGTATATCTTCAGTGAAGTCAAACACAGATCCTAACTATCTTTGGCAACTCTGCTAATCCTTCTTAATGTCCATCTTTAGTAGCCTTACTGAATAATAAAAGGCTAGTTATCACTACAATAAGCTACAGTAACTCCAGATTCTGAGCAGAGGAAAAGAAGGAGTGGAATCCCAAACCACACAATTAGGACTCTATTTTCTACATTTAGTAACTCATTCTCAGTACTGGACTAACTGTATACAGAAGAACTGGATGGTATCTGTAGAAATATCTGCTTTTGGTAGTGATGTTCTTGGTCTTCCTGTCTAACAGATGAAGCTGCTGTCCTTCTTGGATAAAGAGGAAGAAATACCCCCAACACCCCTTTTTCCTTTCACTTAGTTTTTTCTGAACAGTTGCTGCATACAACAAATTTTTAGATAATTCTAGATTATCTAGTATCTGATTATTATTTATTATACTTATCAACTGCTTTCACTTAATAATACCTGTGATTGCCAAACAAGAAAGACAACTAAATTGTCTTAAAATTTCTTTACAGATGAAGAAGGCAACCAGGATGAATCCATAGATTCCAAGGTGTGTACTCAGATTTGCACTGTTTGATGCCCAGTTTAAAAGCATGAATTATGTATCTTAGAAAGGATATGAAATCTGCATCTTTTGAGCAACAGGATTGGATTTCAAAAAGAAAAAGATAGCTAGCATCAGTACTGATTCTTCTGGGGGCCGGAGGGCGGTGGAACGGAAATCACTGACCTGTTGGAATGTTCAGTCACTCAGTCACATTCGACTCTTTGTGACCCCATGAATGGTAGTTTGCCAGGCTCATCTGTCCGTGGAATATTCTGGCCAGAATACTGGAGGGGGTTGTCATTTCCTCCTACAGAGGATCTTCCCGACCCTGGGATCAAACCCACATCTCCTGCGGCTTCTGCATCGGCAGGTGGATTCTTTACCACTGAGCCACATGGGGAGCCCCTAGAGAATATTAAATATTTCTATTAAGAGTGTTGGTTACCAGGTTCATTTCAACTTAAATGTGTGTGCGTCTGTACGTTGAAGAGCCTTAAGGCAGTTACATTTTACTGCCTAATGAGAGATTGATTTTATTCTTTTTTTTAGTTTTTTAACCTCTGTCATTGTTTCCACTTACATAAGTTCTTTAAAAATAAAATCTATTAATGCACTTAAATTGATTGGTTGAATGAATGAAGTTGATTATTGCCTATTCAAAGAGACCAATCACTTGTGATCCCTGATCTCTAGTCGTAGTAGAGGGCTGTCATACAGGGAAGTATGAGATATACTGGGAGCAAGGAGAGGAAGACCATAACCAAGACTTGGGGGATTTAAGGAAGGCTTCTTGGGGGGAAGTAACATCCAAGTTGAAATCCGTACAGTCAGGTTTAGGCAGGTGATGAGGGCCCGTGATAGGCAGATAGCAGAGTCTGTAGAGGCAAACAAGCAGGACACGTTCAAGGAGCTGTGTCTGAATTAGTGACAGTAATGGTCAGATTAGATTGGAGGGAGTCTTACTACTATTGGTAACTAAAGATACTTCGTATTCTCAGGCTTCTGTGCCGTCAGATGAGTCGGTAGAGAACCACAGCCCAGCAGGCAGAGTAATCGCTGGTCAGATATTCCTTGATTCAGAAGAATCTGAATTGGAATCATCTCCTCAAGAAGAGGAAGACAACCTCAGAAGCCAAGAAGGGGAAAGCATCGCAGAAGAAATCAGCTTTCTAGAATCTCCAAACCCAGAAAACAAGGACTATGAAGAGCCGACGAAAGTACGGACACCAGGTAGTCTGGACGTTTTGTTTGCTTTCCTCTGATGTAGCAAGGAGGCAGCTGAAATTTTAAAGCCAGCGTAGAGGGTACAGAAGTCCTGTTGTACTGATTGTTCATCACATATAATGTGTAGAGTATAATTTTACAGAGTGTGTTGCATGAGCTGAATTCGATCGTCAGTATTGCTGTTGTGTTATGCTGATGTTCAGGAGTCCGGTATGTGATAATGCATCAGAGTGGCGCACAGAATAGGAGCTCAGGCAGGGAGGGCTGTCTCAAGTGCGGCTTTGGTTACTTTCAGAACTGTTAGGATTTTCACTGCAGTAATCTTTTCAGTCATCCTGGGTAATTTGATTTAGGTGTTTATCCCTCTCCAGTTGAAGCCTACATAAAGACTTTAATCCAATTCTAATTTTCACTTTCTTGACACTGTAATTTTTAAATTTACGACTTCCTCTTTCTCACAATACAGTGTGCTAAATACCTATTCTTCTAAAAATTAGTTATTAATGTGTCTTTGCTGCCCTGTCCCACCACCCTTCTCTCATTTATCATTTTAAAGATCACCACCATTCCCACTTACTATTAGTAGGCAGTCTCCAGAACTGATCCAGATTTGACCTTTTAAAAACATAATTTATTGCAAATATTCAAAAAGAGAAACCACTGTTTAAAAATTAAAAGTACCTTAATCCCGTCAATTAGAAGTAACAGCTGTTAACATAATGGAGACTCTTTCAGGCTTTTTTCCAGATGTTTGGTTTTAAAAAGACTAAATTAGTTCAGAATGTATATACTGTTTTACAGCCTGCATTTGCACATAACAGTTAATCTTGAACATTTCCCCTTATTATTTAATATTCTTTTACAATTTGATGGTTAATGCCTATAAATATTTTTTCATGTAAATGTACAATAACAGTATTTTTTTAATGTATCTTTGGATGTTGCCTTAGAGTTAGTTGTTAAAAGTAAACCTTGAAAGTAAAATATAAAATTTTAAGACATTTTTGTCATATTGCTAAGTTGTTCTGCAGAAAAATAAGTCTCTTTATTTCCTTTGAAACCACTCCTTTTCCTGTCCCTCAGTCAGATGTGTATTACCATTTTTAAGTTTTTGCCAAATATTCATTTTCATGCCTTTCTTTTTTATCCGGGAGACTTCCAAACAAGTACAGAAGTAGAGAGCGTAATGACCCCGGTGTGCCCACCGTCGCCCGGCTTCAGCAGCCACCGGTGCTCTTGTACTTGCTTCATCTTTGCTACTCCATACGCACTTACTCTTTTTTCCTCCTGGAGTATTAAGCAAATTCCACGTTGTTTTACCTGTGTACACATCTCTAAAAGTAAGATTTTTTTTTTCAATGAAACAAAAAATGCAGGTATTAAAACACTCATAAGATTAGCTATTGTTCCTATTCCTATCACCCAATACCCAGATTCTGTTCTGTTTTCCCAGTTGTTTCCAGTGTCTTCTTGGAATTGGTTTCTTTCAGTCAGTATCCACACTGAGATCTTAGGTTTCTCTTATTCTGTAACAATTCTCCCTCCCTGTTTTCAAATGCTATTTTATTTGTTAAAGAAAGAATGTCCTTTGCGCTACAGGATTTCCCACATTCTAGATCTAGTGGGTCATATTCTTGTAACGTAATTGAACTTGTTCCACTATCTGCTGTCTAGTCTGTGAACTAGAAGTTCAGTCCAAAGGCTTGGGTAGATTTTGTCTTTTTTTGGTTTGATTTAATATATGTTTATATTATGAAATGACTACCACAAATTTAGTTAACATCCATTACCACACAGTTACAATTCTTTTTCTTGTGAAGAAAACTTCCAAGATCTACTCTCAGCAACTTACAGATATACAATATTGTTAACTATACTCAATGTGTTGTATATTATGTCCTTGAAATCAGTTTTTTATTATTTTTTATCTAGAATCTTTTTTATTTTTTAAATTATTAAAGTATGTTTACATATTTACAGGAGACTTAGAAAATACAGAACAAAGTTACATATAGTTCCATGATTTTTTCAGTGGATAAATTGAGATTTTTTTAGTTGAAATTTTGATATAAAACTCAAAAAATGCCAATAAATATACAGAAAAGCAGAAGGATATTGTAGACCTGAAAAGCGCCATGAACCAATTCAACATAATTAAGATTTTTATAATTTCACACAACAGTAGGATACAAATTCTATTCAAGTTCCTGTATACTATAAAGTAGGAGATGCTGGAACATATCCAGGGACATAAAACACAGTGCAAAAATTTCATGGTCTAAAGGTATTGCAATCATATAGAGTCTGTTCTCTTGTCACTGTGAAACTTTTTTAATTGATAATATTCATAGACAGTGTTGTATACTTCCCATTGCATTACCTAGGAGGTATGTAGTATTTGTCTCACTTCTAGGGATTGGTCAGTAGGGTTGCATGTTGTCAGCCTGATCCAGCCATTGGAAAGTTCCTCACTGACCTTTCGCCCAGAAGTTTTAAGAACCATTTCATTCTTTGTATGGATCCATCTTTTCCAGTGGGAGTTGCTAAATACGACTTTCTAACTTATTCCTTCTGCATTTGTTATCTGGGATTCTTTCATAAAGAAGAACTCTTCTCATCAACTATTTGGTTACCCAGAAATACAGTCCATATAGTAGGATAAAATGCTTGATTCTTTCCCCTGAAATATTTTCAAATAATGATTTGGTACCCTAGCAACCTGCAAAAGAGACCTGTGAATATGTTTTCATTTCTGTTTGTTTTGCTTTGCTTTTGAGCATCATTAGAAATCCATGGATTTTATATATCTGTGCGTTACTCTTTTGTAATCATTCTTTTTTATTGTTTACATTTTTCCATTTTTGGCTATTGAGAGTCCCTTTAAGTTTATTCCTTTGTGCTTTTTGACTAATTGTAGGTAACTTTTAAACTTTTTTTTTTTTCTTTTTAGGCAGGACAAGATGTCCCAAATTCATCTTATATGTTTCCTGACCTAAAAATGAATCTCAGCCCTCCTTTTAATGGGAAATTGTATTTATTTTGGAGAACATAATCTAGACACCAAGGATATGCATTGCAGCTGCGTTATCATTACTAATAGACTTTTTTTGGTCAATGAGTTAGGAAATAAAACATTCATATTTATTTTTTTCCAGTTCAGATTGAATATTACAGGTGAGATAACAAAGGGTCAGACTGACAAATTGATTTCACAAGAATCCAAGATCCTACCTAAAGTCCAACTTGACTAATGTGTTCAAAGATCTAACTGTCACAAGACACAGGTCACAGGTCTGAGGCCGCCAGAGCCGCTCCCGGGTCCTGTCTTGCCGCATTTAAGATGTGCCCTGGCTGACTTTAACACACGATTTTAACTTACGACAGTTTGACCGATGCATGTGGAGTGTCAGCACCACAATAGGGAGCTATTTCTGTTATCAAAAGTCTTCAGGGTATTCCCTGATAACTGCATGACTTGCGTGGTGTTTTCTCGGAAGTCATGCCTGGGAAATACTGACATCCTGGGCCTCTGCACAGTGAGCAGCCTGCATAAACCAGCTCCAGCCAGCTAAAGCAGTGCATAGGTAGGGACTCCCCTGGTGCTAACCGGAAGGCCTCTTGGCGTGTTTCTTAGATGGTTTGATCCCACCCCTCTGTCTCTCTGTTTCTCGGACAGTGAAAGGAGAGAATGGATTTCAGGGCTGCCGCTAGTCCTTTCTACCCGTCAGGATCTTTGCTTCTTTGTTTTTATGTTGGGGTCTCTTTGCCCTGGTGCTGGTACCTAACAACATGGATGTTACCTTACTTCAGTCAGACAAACAAACAAAGGATATATCATTTCAAAATAACAATGGCAACCATACCACTAACAGTAAGGTCGCTGAATGTAGCTTTAAGATTTCGTTGAGGTTCTTTTTGTTCTTAGTGTATATTTTACTAGTGATTTGTAGCATGATGTGTTTTAAAAATCACTTCAGCAATGCTGTGTGTGGTCATAGCAGGAACTTTTTAAACATTTAGATTGTTCAGTTTTTCAGTAATTGTTTTTTTCTTTTCATTCGTTTTCATGTGTTCTCAGTACGTGAGAGGACCTACGTATGTACGTGAAACATGCGTTGTGTCTGCATGACTTGGTGTGTGCGGTCACAGTTTCTTTAGAACTGGATTATATGACAGCTAACTTCTAGACTTGCTTCCTCTGTCAGCCTCTCGTCCATGTCTCTGCCATACTGATCTTCCTAAAACCCAAATGTGATCCTGTCACTTCCCTGTCTACAACTCCCATTAGCTCCCACTCATCTGTGAAATGAAGTCCTTGCTCCCCAGGGTTACTGACATAGCCTCTCTGTGCGCATGGCTGCCACCTTCTGTGGCTTCATCTCCGGAACCTTCCCCTCCGTGTGCCTTTTTCCAAGGAGACTAAGCCCATCATCCTTCTTCCGAGGCTTGTGCCTCTGGGCCTTTGTACAGGCTCGCCCCACTGCTTGGGATACCTTGCTCACCTCCTCACCCAGATCCACGTGTCACATTTCTGCTCATCTTGAAAGCCAAACTTGGGCTTCTCTTTTCCGAAGCAGTTCCTGATGTAGCTAAGAGTCTCTTGTGTGAAAGGACTTCCCATCCAGTGCCCCCGTTTGCACCCTTTCCCCCGGAGGCCAGTTATCTAACAGCAGCCAGACTGGTCCTCCTTCCTGTCCACAAGCCACCAGTGGCTTCCCGCCACGTTGAGAATGAAATCCAAACAAGGCTTTAAATGATCGAGCCCCTCCTGTCTGACCTCATCTCTGTCACTCATGTGATTCCGTCACACTCGCCTTCTGCTGCGTGTTGAACCTTTCATACTTAATTCTCAGCTGTCAGGAATCCCTAAGACTACACCCCTGGGCTCGATTATTCTCTGGAGAGACTCAACAGGACTCAGCATCTAGTCATATCTTCAGCTGTCATTTATTACAGAAAAAGAATACAGAGCAAAATCAGCAAAGGGAACGGTGCACAGAGTGAGT